ATATTTACATTTAGCCATGGAAGCCTCCATCATGTTTGGAAATTGCTGGACTATACTGCCTATTATTAATTGAGCACCTGGTTTTATGCCATCCTTAGGAGGTAGTAACTGAGAGTGTGAATTGGAGTAGCTCAGGGGTTTGCAGAAAATGGATTTGTAGTCCCAGGACATTAAGAATTTAAAAGCAGCCTTTCCTCATTTCGTCCAGTTGCAATTCTTTGTTCAAAGAATGAAGTAGAAAAGTTAGAGTCTGTAAGGTCTCAAAGTCTTCTGACTTCTTGCCTAGTGCCCTATTAAGGGGAAAGAAAATAAGGTAGTATAGAATATCCTAGTCCTGAGGATAAGATCTTAATGGGTACTGGTGTAAGAGGCAGAAAATAGACTAGCGCAAGGTTACACACTGGAAGAGAGATACAGAGGAGGAATAAAATGACTAATTGAGGTCAGTAAAAAACTGATGGGAATAAAGTTACTTGGGGATAAAATTTAGTGTTGTGGATCTCTTCTGGTTTTTTTTTATTTTTTAGTATTAAAAGCATTTTAAACATATAATAGTGAAGTTAAGAAAGCAAGGAGAAAGAAAGTGGCTGTTGTGCAGAGAATGTACTGCCAAAAGGAGTTGCTTAATGAAGCAACGATTTCACTTATTGGTAATGGGCTGATCTCATTGACTTTGTGGGCCAACAAGCATGATTTTGCCATTTAAGTCAGAGTTGACCAGACCCTTTACTGGTTGATTCTTTTTAAAGCAGCTGCCAGTTTGTTAGTTCCAATTAGAGATGGGCTGGGAGGCAAGCAGTGAGTAGGTACACCCATCAGAATACTATTCCTTTTTCCTTGTTGTGTTCCTGTCCTTTCCAGTCGCTTTCACTAGCACCTGGTGAAACAGAAGAGTCTTGGCAAGAGAACTTTCTTTGTGCTGGCTACTAGATATGCTTACTAACCAGGAGAACGTTTGGTTATAGGGAAGCTGTTTGCATTTATATGCTTGACTTCCAACCTGAATACATAGAAACTTGCTTTCATGTGTTTCTATTGATCAACATCTCTCTTCCTCTCTAATCTACCTGCTGCTTCCAGTGAACCCTAGAGAGACTTTCTCAGTGGGATCACAACAGGTCAGGAGTCACACAGAGTGGCTTGTTTCTTAATTTCCAACCACTGGACACATAGTAGGCATTTAGTGCAACCAAGGGAAGGAGAAATAGGTGTGCTGGTGAAGAGAGTGCTGTTGGTTATCATCCCAGAGTTAAGTGCCCAGAATGCAGATTGCAGCAGAGCCTGAAAGGGATTCCAAGCTGAGTTCTGCATGTGTGTTACTATAGATTTAAAATACTTACATAGAACATTAGAATTTGGCAAGTTTGTCCAGTAGATAAACTTGTGTGAGCATATATAGTAAGCATGTAAATGTACAGACTACAGCGGTCATGACTTAAAGCAGTTTAATCATATCAACACTGATTTAAAAAGTTGGTGCTTTCTCATAGAAAAGTTTATGTATGTATCTGTGTGTATATGTGTACATTTGTTTACATTTGCTTGCTTGTTTTCACTAGTCTTCAAGATTCTGACTTGAGTTTTCTGGAATAAAAAAATACTGTTATATTCTTGTTTGATAAAATAGATACCTTTCTCTTTCTAACTTTGAAATAATATATTCTAGTTCTATCAGGGAATTTTAAACAAAAATTCACTTTAATTCAGGTATTCCCAAATCAATTTCTATTTTGTCTCATAGTTAATTTTAATTTAATCAAATTGCCATAAACCTATAAAATAATTTTTCCATCTTTTAAATCATTTTTCTTTATTTTGTAGGTTATCAAGAAAGTTCAAAAAATATATAAATAAACTAATGATACTTGAAAGTTTTTTTATGTTTAGGTACAATTTTAAATATTTCTAAAAACTGATAGGATATATTGTTCTACTTTAAGTATGCTATCATATTTATAATTTATGATATGTGTATAACTAAATACAGGATGGGGGCAAAAGTAGGTTTAGAGTTCATATGGAAAATAATCCAATAATTAATAATAATACAAGAATAAACTCTGTTTTGCATACTCACAACTGTAAACCTATGTTTGCCTCACCCTGTATATAATGTTCATGCTATATAGAAGTCAGAAGCAAGAATGGTGCTAAAATAACATTAACTCTCTGACATACTAGACATGTTAAGGAAGTCTATTTAAATCATCATCTTTACATCCCTGTGACTATTTTGTAACTACCAATTTGTACTTCTTAATCCCTACACTTCTTTCTACCATACAGTATATGGCTAACTATGAAATTAGAGATTATTTTTAAATATAAATAATGATTTCATTGGTCATTGTTATATACTATTGGCTTATGCTTCTTTGAAAGCAGTTTGTTGTCTATATTGAGAGACCTAAAAATATTCTTAATCTTTGACATAAAGTAGTCAATATAGTCAGTAATATTGTGATAACTATGTATGGTGCCAGTAGGTACTAGGAATATCAGGGGGAACACTGTGTAAAGTATAGGATTATCTAAGTACTTTGCTGTGCACCTGAAACTAATATAAAATAATATTGAAAATAAACTATAATTAAAAAATAAAAATTTTAAAAATTATTTTTAAATGTTAAAAAGTAAAGCATCATTTCACATTGTCTATTCTACAAGATAGATAGAGAGGACTAGTACATTATTATTATCAGTTTAATCCTCACCCAAGGATATTTTTTCATTGATTTTCAGAGAGAGTGTAAAGGAGGGGGGAAGGAGGAAAGAGAGAGAGAGAGAAGAGAAAGAGAAACATTGATGTGAGAGAGACACATCAGTTGGTTGCCTCTTGCACGTGCCCTGACCCCTATGGGGGATGGAGGGAGGTGAGGGATCGAACCTGCAACCCAAGGACGTGCCCTTGACCAGGAATCTAACACTATTCTTCCATGTGCAGGCTAAGGCTCTAACCACTGAGCATACCAGCCTGGGCTATTTTTTTAATTTAAATTTTATTTTTCAGTTACATTTTACATTTAATATTATTTTGTATTAGTTTCAGGTGTACAGCATAGAGGTTAGATGATCATTTACTTTATAAAGTGTTTCCCCCATATTTCTAATACCACATGGCACCATACATAGCTACTACAATATTGCTGATTATATTCCCTATGTTGTATTTTATATCCCCATGACTATTTTGATTAATACATTATTAAAATAGCATATTTCTGTTCTAATCACTGCTTTTCTTTAAGCTTATATTTGTGATTTTTATAATGTAATTTATATTATACTGCAAATCAAGCTATACATGAAGAACATGCTCATGTATTTATTGCAGAGGACCTGGCAGAGGTGATTTCTGTATTAAATTTTCAGTGTTTCTATTAAGCCTTATAAAAACTCACTGAAGCTAAAAACTAGGCTGGTTTAGTCCACATGTACTGTGAACCAGTACAGGCAATTATTTCAGATTCCTGAGTGGTCTTTATTTCTTGGACATGAGTCATTCCTCCAGCATCATCTGATACCATTTTACAGTAGCAAGAAAAAGATGCGTAAAACCAAAGTTTGAATTTTCTCATGCATTCCACCATTTACCTCACGATTCTTGGAAATATACTGTCCAGAAGTAGGAATACATTTTCCCACCAACATGGTTTTAAATGTTTAATACTTCTGTTCCCTTGTACCTATATGGCTCGCTCTGTTTAACCCCGGAGATTTACAGTAGAGTGTTCAAATAATTGCATTGTTAAGAACCTTCAAGATTTTTGCAGTTAACATTTGGGAGCATGTCTTAGGTCTAGACTGGCATTCCAAACTTGCGTTCCTACCTTGTCACAGGAAGAAGAAAATGCCTAGCCTGCTTTCCTTTTCTCTTTAAATCTGCCACAACCAGTTCTGTTCCTTAGAATTCTTCCCCTGCCTCTCAACACTGGTTATAGAGTGGGAACAATCTCTGGATACAAATGTTGTTTCTGAATACAAATAGTAACAGGTTCTTTATGTTTCATGGGTTTTATTACTAATTTTCAGTAAAGAATCAACAAAACTAGCAAATATGGGGGGGTTATAAAGTTTCTAGAAACTGCAAAAGTTCCTATTGTTATGATTAGTGTTATCTTTGCTAAAATCCCCATTGAAGTTCTGTCTTAAGCTTTTATTCTTAAAGTTAGAACTTACCATACTTGCCCTTCTTGCTCCCATCATGGCCTGAAGACCATCAGGATTCCTGTATGTGGATGACTTCTATAGATTTCTCCTCTGAGTTTCATATTTTTTTGTCTATTTCAATTTCCTAAACACCTTTCCATAATCAGTTTTTACTTAGATCTAATAGGTCATTTCCTTAAATGAACAGGCAATATACCAAAGGGGAAAATCCTCATATGATTAATTAGTGTATAAAACAGTTTAAGTGTTACTAGTAATCACTGAATTTTATATTAGGTAATACAGAGCTATTTCTCTATGAAAGTAGAGATTATTTTTAAACATAAATAATGATTTCATTGGTCATTGTTATATACTATTGGCATATGCTTCTTTGAAAGCAGTTTGTTGTATATATTGAGAGACTTAAAAATATTATTAGTCTTTGACATAAAATCTGTGTTAAAAAATTCTGCTACCTAAAGTAAATTAGAAATAAAGGAAAGGTGTTTATTGAAGTATTTTGTTCTATATTTCTAACTTTCTCTGATATATTAGAAAACAATATTAGAGAAATGGTTACATATGACATAAATATGAAAATATTATAGTAGTATATACTTAATGATGATGTTATAAGAAATCTTTAGGTAATTTTGGAAAATAGTTTTATAAGAAGGCTTATGTGCTGTAATACTTTCAAAAATAAAGATAAATTTTAAAAAACCAGAAGACTTATATGAAGAGATAGAATAGGAGTTGGGCCTTGAAAAATAGGATAATCTGTAGGTTGGGTATTTCACTGGGGGTAGACAACATGAGTAAAGACACAAAGTTGGAAATAAGTTTATTTTCTGGAAAGTAATGATTAATTTGGCAGTAAAGAAGGGGTTCATTTGGGAGAAATCAGAGAAAATGTTATTCATCGTTATGTGTTAGATACTTGCTAAGTACTGTGGGTATAAGTATGACTAAAAGAAAAATTAAGACTTTAGGTAAAGGCACTCTGTACCTGCCTACACCAAAAATTATAGCTAGTTTATATTGTATCATAGAGGACTCTGTGGGTTTTACCAAGAAGTTTGCATTTTATCCCTTAAGCCAGTGGTCCTCAGGGTGCCTGGTTACTCCACACTCCTCTCTTTCCCCAACTCAAAATTTACAGCTAGTTAGAAGGATCTATAAAAATAAAAGCGTAATATGCAAATCGACTGAACAGCCGAACAGTGAAACAACCGTCTGGATGACCTTCCAATTGATCAGTTGGGGGGGCCCCAAGATCGCCCCAAAGAGGGAGACCCAGGCCACTGACAAGTGGGCTGCGGTGGGTGGGGGGGGCCTCCCTCTGCGGGGGCGATCCATCTTGGAGCCCTGGCCAGGTGGGCAGGGCCTGCCTCTTTGGGGCGATCGATTGTGGGGCTCCCAGACTGTGAGAGGGCACAGGCTGGGCTGAGAAACCTCCCTCCTGAGTGCATGAATTTCGTGCACCGGGCCTCTAGTATTGTATAACCAATTTAGACTATCTCCCTTCCAAATTGGTGGGTATTTCAGGTAATGGCAATTTAGAAGGACATATGTAAGACAATTTCATGAAAATTTAAAAAAACAATGAGTGGATAAAAATATCAAAGATAATGAAAGTTTTGATTTTGTATGATATCAGTAACAGAAATGGGAAAGCTGGAAAAGGAGAGGTTTGTGAGGCAAGATGATCAGTTTAGTTTTCACAGTTGGTTGAAGACATGCACTCAGGAGAGCTTTATTTATCCTGTGTGCTTTATTCTTGCTTTGCTTTTTCTAGAAAAATGCATGTTGTTCTTCCTATACTTCTAACTACCTATTCCAATGTGAAATCTAATGTGAAATCTCCAAAAAAGACTTTCCAGGGAGTTGTAAAAGTAACTTAAGTAATAAAAATATTTAAGCAATAAGGTCTATGGCATTTAGTTTTAAAGTTTTTTTTCATGTACTGGAAACAGTACTTGTATTTGATTCTCTTCACCTTATTTAATGTCTTTGCTTCACACTGTAACATATTGGGCATGGGACCATAACCTTAAGGTAACAGTAAATCTCATTCTAAACTCTATTATAGGGAAGTTTCTTTCTTTAGCAGATGGGAGATTCTTTGGTCAGAGAGACCTACGAAGGTGAATGCTTCCCAGGCTCGCCAGTTTAAACCTTGTATTAAGCAGATAAATTTTCCCACAAATCTTATACGGCTGGAAGTAAATAGTTCTCTTCTGGATTATTACACTGAATTAGATGCAGTTGTATTGCATGGTATGAAGGACAAGCCAGTACTTTCTCTCAAGACTTCACTTATTGACATGAATGATCTAGAAGATGATGACTATGAAGAAAACGATGATTGTGGAATGGACAATCTTAACAAAAAGCTTAGCAGCACTGCCCTCAGGGAAGGGCCAAATAATGGATATTTTGACAAACTACCTTATGAGGTAAGTCAAATTTATTCAGTAGCAATATTACAAATAACACAATAATTTTTTAAAGTTTAGGTATTAATATTTATTTTGCTAGATACTAGAGAAATAGAAGTATTGGTAAGGTGTACATAACCTGATGTATATTTTGATTTTGAAAAAAACTAGACAAAATTATGTTGAGTAATTTCACCACTTTGGTTTTGGATTGACTTTAATAATTTTGGATAAACTATTAAAAATACGTTGTTATATCACTGATTAAAAATAAGCAAACTACATAAACCAGCAATAAATTATACTCTACTACAATTCATAATTATACAATATAAATATGGACAATATGTGCTTAAATTTATACCAGTTAAGTTAAAGATGATTTGCAATTAAAAATAAGAGGATTAATAAGATTGTAAGAGAAATGCTTATTCTATGTAGTAGTGCAAAGTTTCTCCCAAGTGTCATTTATTTTTCTATACCAACTCTATTCTGTATCCTCTAACTAGCTATAATTTTTGGTCTGGGCAGGTACAGAATGCCTTTACCTAAAGTCTTGTTTTCTGTGTGTCTCTATAAGGGCATTTCTGCAGTATATTTAACATCCCTGGCTCCCAGGCATCAAATGCCAGTAGCACACCCTCTGGGGGTGGGAGTAGGGCCTGGCATTTCGGTCCCCAGCTGAGAACTGCTGTGTGTGGTTAAAAATAATATAATAAAAAATTTAAAGAAAAAATTATAACCTCAAATTTTAACCAATTCAGACTATCTCCCAAATTGGTGGGTATTTCACGTTTCATTGTAATGACACAAGTAGCTTAACTTGTGTAGAACAATAAGATAGCCTCTTGAATGCCTCTCAGTAACTATAATGCCTGTGTAACATTTTACAGTTAAAATGCTATTTTACAGTTACTTCCTGAGAAGTAGCTAAAGTTTCCACATAAAGGTGAATTAAAGGGTCCAAGATAATTCAGTCCATAAGCTATGGGACCAGGATCCAACCAGGCCTTCTAGGTCAAGCTTTGTGTTATGGGAAGGAAGCTTCACAGATTGGACAAGACCCTCTGGCCCTAAACGGGATGGGGAAGATGAAGGGAGAGTTGAGTTGGGCAAGGAGAGGAGTGTGGGATAGTGACAGTGTTGTTCCCCAGGGCTCCCAGGAGGATTTGTCCTGGCAGCAGTGGAAGCAGTTCATCTGGAGGAAACAAAATCACTTCTTTGATTCTTACCCATTTCCTAAAACTATAAAATAGAAATTTAAATTCAGCAAATCTATTTTAAACAGTTTATTGAATTTTATGCAGACCTAACAAAATGCTTGACACATAGTATTTAAATGAATAAGTGAGAGGAAGTTCAGAGAGAAGGGAAAGAATGTACAGAGATAAGAAGTGAAAGTGTGTGACCTTGTTTGGGAACTCCAGCATTTCAGTATGGCTGGATCAGGATTAGATAGCAGAAGCTATAAGAGATGAAATTGGATGGAGGCTCAGGGCTGCCTCCCTGCAGAACTCCACAGAACACCATTCCCATCGAAGACAATGATTGGGACATCCTAGCCTTGGCTGTGTCCAGCCTACTCTGCTGTATCATAGAGAGCCCTGTGGGTTTTACCAAGAGGTTTGCATTTTCTCCCTTCAGCCAGGGGTCCTCAGAGTGCCCTGTTATTCCAGTACACAGCAACATCAGTTGTGGGAGTCATTCACATTCACTTTCTTGTATTCTTTTGTAGTCTTCATGGGCTTTTTTTTTTTTTTTTTGAGTGGGAGAGACAGGAGAAAGTGTAGAATGCTAACTAACATTCCAGGAATTATCTTTACTATGCAGACATTTTTGCATATGCTTTGGCCCACAATTAGAGATAATTGCCCAGGAGTTCAGCATCATGTAAACTTTGTGTTTCATATGTATCATGACATAAAAAAGATTGTGGACATTTTCTGTAGTCAGTAGGAAACATTGAAGGTTTTATTTATTTTAAAAAGGGGAATAACAAAATGAGATTTCTGTCTTAGATTACTCTGTTGGTAAATGAAGAATAGACCAAAAGGGGATCAGGGACACCAGTTAGGAAGCTGCTGCAGTAATTTGGGCAAGAAATTATGAAGCCTTGGGTATTGGAAGTTTTAGAAAGGAGATGAGTGGGAGAAGTACTCCAGAGATGTAGAAGGTAGAAATCGAAGGTAACTAGTGAATGTGGAGATGAAACAGAACAACAGAGGGGCTTTAGGTTTCTGGTCGAAATGACTCAGTGGATGGACATGCCATTAATCACAAAACAGTGGGTGAAGGTGGGAAGGACATTCTGACTTTGAGGTGCCTGTGATTCATCAAAGCAGGCTTTTCGGGTTGGGGACAATAGTTTGAAACTCAGGAGGAAGGTCTGATTTTATATTTGTGTGATTCTACTCAAGAGAGGGGAGGGGCACCATCCTATATAATAAAAGCCTAATATGCTAAGTGTCTGGTTGTCCGTCTGGTCGGCCATTCAACCAATCACAGAGTAATATGCTAATGATATGCTAAGGCCGCTCAACTGCTCTGACCACCAGGGGGCAGACACTCCGGGTGGTAGGTTAGCTTGCTGCTGGGGTCTGGCTGATTGGGACTGAGCAAGACAGGTCGGACATGCCCTGGAGCCCTTCCGTGGTCCCTCCCCATCGGGCCAACTTCCTGCGTCCCTCCCCAGCCCCAGTCGTGCACTGGTGGGGTCCCTAGGCCTGGCCTGCGCCCTCTCGAAATCCAGGACCCCTCGGGGGATGTTGGAGAGCTGGGTTCAGCCCGATCCCGCAGGCCAGGCTGAGGGACCCCACTGGTGCACAAATTTCATGCACCGGGCCTCTAATGGTAGATAAAATTGACCAATGAAATTCTGTAAAGTGTGAATAAAGAACCAAGAATAGAATTCTGGGATACTAACATCTAAGAATCACATAGAGGAAGACAAGTCAGAAAAGGCACTTCAGAAATAGGAGATTGTCTTTAAAACAAAATGCTAGGAAGCTAAGTATAGAAAACAAGTGCCCACAGACTTTGGCTGTTGAGGGGTCTTTGATAATCCTTTACCATGATCAGTTCAATGGAGCCATGCTATAGGGTGAGAATGAGAAAACCTTACCATATTTGGTTAAGGCATCAAGGAGGGAGGAAGGAGCAGAGACAAAAAGTGCCAAGTCTCTACGTTTAAGCAGAAAAACAGTTGTGTTAATATACTGTAACTGGGCTGTAACATGGGTAAGACTGTCCACCAATAATGACTAATACTGGCATGCTGACTAACACTCCACCCTTTTGTGTCACACTCAAAAAAGGGCATATCAACATGAGGGAGTGTATGTAGTTATGGGTATATCTCTTCTAACTTACCTTTTAAAGGGAGAGAAGATAGGTGAGTGGTATGGTAAAGGATGCAGCAGAGAGAGAAAGTTTCCATTTGTGATGCAGGTTGGGAGAGCTTTCAGCATGTTTATATGCTGAAAGGAAGGAGTAATAGAGAGGGAAAGCTTTCCAAACATGCAGAGGGTTTAATCGAAACTACAAAGTCAGGTAGAGGAAACCCAGAGATAGAAGCAGTAGTCCTCGAGGTCATTAATTAGCCATGATGAAAGCAGCGTGCCATGTACAGAGGGAATGATCTCACAGTGAATAAAAAGAGAAGCTCTTTTAAAAAAATGTTACCCAAATTATTTAAAGGTAATGCAAATTATTTCAAGGGGGAGAATCACATTTAAATATGTCAAGTGATCTAATGTTTTTATAGTTGAAAATAATTGTATTATGAGTAGAGTGGGTTTGAGGGCAGATAAATTGTGTTTTGGGAGTCCTTCCCAACACATCATGTCCTACATTCACTGTGGTATCAAATGGTGCTTTATGCCGGCACACTCCAATGTAAAAGCACATTTTGACAGACACTAGATTAGTAATGATTAATGGATGTTGTCTTGTAGACCTGAAACCTGTTATCTTTTATTTAATCAAAATCCAAAAGTGTTTTTTCACATGTCACATGTCAATGTCATAGTCTCAGTGACTTTTCATTATTCTTTTTCTATTCTGATATTTGCTTAAAATGTAATATTAATTGTCATAGAGTGTTTTCACATAGTACACATCTTTTAATATTGGTGACTTTTGTTTGGAACAATGCCAGAAATTGCTGAGAGTTATTTAAATTACAAATCATCTGGAAAAAGTAAATTATGTATCCTCTGATACAGGGATATACTTAACTTTTAATGCCTCTGTACTAACTGCTTAAAAATTATACTGAAATAACTTTTAATACTGTGGTTAAAACAACAAATTTTTAATTCATTTTACAAATATTTAAGGTCCTACAGTTGCTGAGCTCAGGTAGCTCATAAGTTCTTTCAAACATTTAAGAAACAGATAAATCTATATTACTTCAACTCTTTTATAACATAAAGAAAAATAAAAGTTTCACTGTTGTTAATGAAGCCAGTTTAACACTATGGCACATAAAAAGAAAACTGTAGACTATGTGGTCATCCCTCAGTATCCTCTGGGGATTGGTTCCAGCCCCCAGCCCACCCCTCCATACCAAAATCCTCAGATGCTCAAGTCCCTTATATAAAACTAGTGGCCTGGTGCACGAAATTCATGCACATTAAAAGGGAATTAATTAGAGGAAATATTTTAATATTGCTATTTGCCCTTTCTCTATAATAGAAGTGTCAGAGATGAAAGAAAATTAGTAAAATGTATATGAAAATCTCCCTCCTGTCAGAGTCTGGGCGTGCCACGGGACCTAGAGTCAAGTCCCCGCCCACTACCTGCACGTGCTTCAAAAACGCAGGAGACCCAGACCTGGCAGGCCCCACCCCCATCAAGCCCATCCGGGCAGGGGGCGCAGCCTGAGGTCCCCTGGCCCAGTGCCAGGGCAGGGGGCATGGCCTGAGGCACCCATCAAGCCCCGCCAGGCGGGGGGCGCGGCCTGAGGTACCCCGGCCCGGTGCTGGGGGCATGACCTGAGTTCCTCCGTCAAGCCCTGCGGGTGGGGGGCGTGGCCTGAGGTCCCCCAGCCCGGCGCTGGGGTGGGTGGTGTAGCCTTATGTCTCCCGGCCTGGCGCCAGGGCAGGGGGCACCAGGGCGGGGGACGCGGCCTGAGGTCCCTCACTCCGGCCAGGCACCATGCAGCCTCAGGTCCCTGCTGTCTGGTTGTGACGTTATGGCGTCCAGGCTAATTTGCATATACCTCTATTATATACGTAGATGATAATAGTATTTGCATGTAACCTAAACACACCCTCTTATATATTTTAAATTATCTCTAGGTTACTTTTCCCCTTGGAGAGTATTATGCTAAGTGAAATAAGCCAGTCAGAGAAAGACATGTCTGTCTTTTCACCTAGTTTGCCTCTCACCCTTTAAAGCTGAACCTTCCTGATACAAGTCCTCTTTCATTTTGTGGTGAGGCCCCTGTCTTGTGTTAGGCTCTAGTGGCAGCCTGTGCTTCTCTCTATCAAAGCTATTGAAACATGTCATTGTATTTACCAGTCCCCACTGGACTCTGAAAACTTTGAAACTGGGAACTCTTTTCTCTCTATCATCAGTGTTTGATTTATAGTAGATGTTTAGTAAATATTGAATCTATGAAAATTTGTATTTTTCAACAGATTTCCAAAGTACATCTTTGCATTATAAAAAAAAATTAGTCAACTTGAGCTGAGTGTACTTTGAACATTTTGAAATGTAATTAAGTCTTAAGTAGGTATGGTTTCTTCTGTTTTGGCTAATTCAGTTCAATGTTGATCTGTTTAGTATGTGAAAATAGTGTTATAAAATACATGATACTCTTGTTCTCTTTTTCATTCTTGATGATATTGGTTTCTCTGTTTTATGTAGCTCATTCAACTGATTCTGAATCATCTTACACTACCAGACCTGTGCAGATTAGCACAGACTTGCAAACTGCTGAACCAGCATTGCTACGATCCTCTCCAGTACATCCACCTCAATCTGCAGCCTTACTGGGCAAAACTCAATGACACCTCCCTGGAGTTTCTGCAGGCTCGCTGCACTCTCGTCCAGTGGCTTAACTTATCTTGGACTGGCAATAGGGGCTTCATCTCTGTTGCAGGATTCAGCAGGTTAGTGCCAAGTTGTTGAAATTATTTCACCAGCAGGCTGTACTTATTATGTAGTAGTTTCCACAATTAAGTTTGAAATCATATACTTTACAGAAATAAAAAAGAAATACATTTTGTGCATCATCCTGTTCAGAATGCTTCTGCTTATAAAAGCGAATGAGTTTCACCTTTTCAGCTACACTTCATGATAATAGGAAGGGAAACTATGCTCTTTACCTCATATTTTTAAAATCCCAAATAACTTTAACAGAGCTCCTTTTTTTTCTTTCTCATATTTCCAGTACAGATGATTAACACATTTAAAAAACTATTTCTAAATCAAAATCCACCTCTCTAATGTGATTTGTCAGAAATGGAAAACAATTTATTATAGAACATTTTTAATTAAATCTTAATTACATGTGCAATACATCACCCAAATTTAGAAGCACATTTAAACTAATTATGTTGAAAATGCAATTGCATGCTAACGAGGCGACCACACTTGCAGACCTGCCCAGGTGTTTCTGCTCCTTTCTATTTAAGCATTTAGTTTCTTTGCTATTAAATGTCACCTGTTAAACATGGTAAAGCTTGCATAAGTGCATATTCATTTAGTAATGCCATGGTAATTTTTCTTATGGTACAAATAGGTGTTTTTCTCTTAACCTTGATGATGGCTATTCTCAGAGTGTGCTACAATCTAATCCCATCATTTCATTAAGCTAAATAATGAACAAGTAGAAACTTTGGGAAAACTACCCATTATTTTTTATTAATGAATACTCTCCTACCCTGTTTTTCGAAGTTAAAAATGAACTTCAGTTCTCCCGACACACATCCCTAGTGGCCATATTCTTGAACAGTGGTTTATGAATTAGAAATTTATATATTGAGCCTTATTTCCCCTTGACTTACATTATAAAAATAAGCATGAAGTTCCATAAAATAAAATAAATATTTGATACCATTATATTCACATACAATAATAATGTTTTAAATACTAAAAGTGTGTTCAAAATGCTAATATTGATAGTTTATGCAATGAAGTGAAAAATTTACACAAGCATTTAATAGCTTATTAACACACGTTGAAACCATGGATGTACTGACTGCCTGTCTTTTCTGCCAGAAATGGAGCCAGGGGAAGGGGTTCTTTGATAAAATATTATGGTATTGTGGGTCAGAGATTCTAAAGACTTTACAACATGCTATGTACACCAAATTCTTTTTCATTAGGAGGAAATATCTGTAGTAGAAAAATAAAGCATTTCTTTTAGCAGTGTGGTTTCAGTAAATTTTTTTAAGTTGCTAGACAATGACAAGTATTTAGTGGAACATTCTTTAGTCCTTCCTACTCACCCTTGCCCAAACACACACTTCATTCACAAATTTTCCTCTCTGCTAATAGGATCAAGAAGAACTGAAGCTAATGATGATTATGGGTATTTAGAGCATACACTATGGGTTATAAACCAAGACCAACTGAGAACAGATAGAACAGTTGGTGTCAGTAAGCATTATTTTACATTATAAGGACCTTTCTGGTATTTTAAATAGACATTAAAGGAAACATTGGTAGTGAATGGCTAAACTCCAGTTTCTTTGGCAAAATGTTGCCTATAAAAATGTTATAATGAGTAAAAGGTAAAGGTAATATTAAATCAGTTTTTAAAAATTCTCTGAATGTAACTCATCCTGATGCATGAGCAGAAACATAAGTTGTGAGAAGAAAACTTAGGAATGCTATTTTTAAAATTTTAGACTCATAATGACTAAAGATCTTCTTTTACAAGGTTAAAGCTCCAATCTACTTTCTCACCAGCAATTTCTGTTTCATTTTCAATCCATCCATGTTAGTTGCTGTGGGGCTGTTTGAATAATCACAAAAGTACACATACATAAATTTAAGTTTTCCATATTTTACTGTAGTTTTCAGCCAGTAAAACCATAAATCTTGATGGCATTCCTTTAAGCATAGTCATTGTTCCCATTAAGAAAAGAAAATGTTTAAATAACAGGGAGGGAATCTTTTTGGGGGTGCGGAAGATGCTGGAGTTTTGCCTCCTGATTGCTGTTGGCCCCCATGACTTGACTGCTGAATTGATAGTCATTATGGCTTGTAGGCAGCATTCCCAGAATAAACAATAAATATTCATGGCTTGATTATTAATGAATAACCTATGAATAAGTATGGCCTATTTGTGCTCATTACTGTGAAGAAGACTTATTTATAATACTTTAAAGACAAAAGTACATTTTTAGACTAGAGACCAATGATGATGAGCTGCTATTTTAGCAAGTCTTTGGGAAAAGTTTGATACAGTTTATTTTTGTTGCCTAAAAACCTAATCCCCACAAGTTGGAACTGTTTAACTGGATTTTAAAGAATTTTTTAGGAATTCATATTATTCAAAATAGCAGGGAAATAGGTTAAATTGGAATAACAAGAATTTAAAACTTTTAATCAGTTATTAAAATCCTGTTCTAGCTACAGATTTATGATTTGCAATTTCAAGTACTGCTTATGCATATTATTGTTCATAAAAATCACATATATTATAATTCTACTTTTCTTTTATAATACAGTTCCCTAAAGTCTTGGCTATTCCTTAATCATATCATTCTGATGTTCAAAAGCCTAGGTACTGTTTTTCTTCAGATAGTTACCCAAACTGATCACCTTGATCTCCATCTCAGTTAGGCAGAGATTTTTACCCTAACCCTCCACTTATTTCCCTCAGAAACATTCTTGAGTACTTTCTAGATTCAAGAACTTTATTAGATGTTTGACACAGAGCTACAGTTTTATGGGATAAAGAACTTACTGCCTATTTACATATTATTTTATTCAATTGTTTGCCTGTACTTCAAACAGTTGTCTCTTTTTGATTGTCAATATCTAGAGATTAGAGATTACTTATTGACTTTCTTCTACTATTACCAGATAATACCATACACAGTTAGGCAGGAAGTCTTGTTTTTAATGGCTTTATTTTGGACCAGATGTAATAAATAATGTTCCAAGTTATTTGAGATTAAAAATGATCTTAAATGTGCTATTTTATAAAACTCCATAAGGGTCAGCTAACAAAGCATAAGATTAGGAATCAGGGCCGATGGATATTTGTATCTAATTCTCCCCTTACCTTTCTATATCAGGAGGATTGTGGGGATTAGTGCCTTTTATTTTGTGATGAGTAAACTCAGATTAAATCATTCATTCATGTGATGTTAATTATTTTAGGATGCAAGTTACAATTTAGTAAATTACTTCTTAGGTGTTTACATTACTCTGGACAAATTAATTCACCTCATAAGGATAAGCAATTTATTTCTCTCTCCAGAGACTCCTTTTCTTATAGCAGGAGACCTAGTTTGGGATTGTTTATCTGAACCTAGGTCTTCTCATAATACCTTTAAATCAAGAAATACTTTGTGAGAATTCATAACCTGGAATGAATAGGCTGTAGGAATTAAGGAAGCTGTAGTTCTCTGTTTAGGTGACCAATATCACAACTGAGATGAATAAATAGAGGATCAAGACAAAAACATTATGTAATTATGCATTAAAATAAGATGTACATGAGCAGCATTAATTAATTGGGTCTGCTGCTACTTCTGCCTTCATGGAATGGACATGTTATGAAAAAGTAGGTAATGTAGATCTTGTAAATTTAGGAAGAGAGACTGGGGATGTTGACCAAATAATCTGCTCAGAGTAAAAATATGCACTAAAGGAAAAGAGAGACATAAAGGCAGTATAGGCATGGCTATTATTGTGCTTTCAAATCCTGTCATTCATTAAATCAGTTTGGCAAGTTTTCTAGTCTCTTTAAAGTTGGCTTTCTGGTGATTGGCTTGATGTCACTGTAAATTCTTTAGAGGGAAAAGTTCAATAATGAGAGCAAGGAGAAAAGGGATGTTAAAGTATCCCAAGTCCAATATGAAAAAGAATTGTAGAACAAAGTGCTTTGTTCTCTAAATAATGAAGACCTTTAAGAGATAAGATGTTTAAACATTTTAATTTTAAGAGAGTTAATATACTCATTTAACTTCTGTGAGCTGCAGTTAATTTCAGAAGTATCAAATCAAAATAGGATATCAGTAGTTCTCTGAAACTTTATGTCCATTTATTTCTAGATAGCTAGTTTATAAATAACTGGAGGCCCAGTGCATGAAATTCATGCACTGGAGGGGGGGTCCCTCAGCCCGGCCTGCCCCCCCCTCACAGTCCGGGAGCCCTCAGGGGTGGAAGGCGACCTGGTGATCAGGGGAAGGCGACGCCCTCATCACACCTCTGCTGCTGCCACTGCCAGCAGCGCAAGCCTCGGCCGGCCCTGGGCCCTCGGGCGGCTCTGGGCAGCTGGGCAGCCGCCATCCAAGGCTTGCCTGTGCCTCGGGCTGGCCCTGGGTGGCTGGGGGACTGAGGGGACTGAGGTTCTCCGGAGGCAGGTACATGAGGCAGGCCTGGCCTTGTCGCATGCCTGCTGCCCCGGCGGGGCTGAGGGGACTGGGTGCCGCCATCTTGTGGCTGTGGGCACCGCCATCTTTGAGGGCATGGCAGTCAATTAGCATATTCCCTCCTTATTGGCGGTGGGTGCTGCCGTCTTTGTGGTGGCGTGAGGGTCAATTAGCATATTCCCTCTTTATTAGATAGGATGAAGAACTACCCAAAACTAAGTATACTCAAAAAAAGGTAAAAATGCTAATTTTGTCATATTCCTTGGGAGTAATTTGACCCTATTGAGGGAAAAATACCCTGAATTCGTAGAACTTTGTCTATCCAAGCATAGAGGGAACTTAAATTCTTCAAGTGAATTTTCATAATTGGAAGATTCATTTAACAGTTCTGATCAAGTAAATTTATAGCAACTATTTTTATTGTTTGAATATGAGTTGTCCAAGATTTAACTTTTATTTTAGTGTTTGTGGGTGCTTTGACCTTTCCAAACTGCTTTCACATATTATTTGATGTTCAAAACCATGAGATAGTGTGGTGAGTGCTATTAGATAATTCTAGTCTGCCTTTTCCAGGCGAGGAAATGCTGGGTAAGTGCATTTTCTAAGGTTACATGCTAGGAAGTAGGGGAAACAAAAAATCCAACTTTTGATTTAGAAGTCCAGTGTTACTTCCTTTACTTAAGTGATTGATTTAGTCAGTTTTATTTTATATGTGTTTTAATCATTAAATCATTTAGGAAAGAGATTGGCATAAATAAATGAATAGTATGTAACTAATGTGACACTGACTAGGCAAGAGGGTGTTGAGAGATCTGGATAGGGATGATTGGTGCACTGTTTAAGGATTCAATTTGCTTAGCTGATAGTTTCATGGATTCAAATACTCCTAGACTCACATTTACTTTTAGATTATTTTCAGATGATGATTATGGTCAGGACTGTTTTCCCCTATCTGTAATGTAACTAAGATAAAGATTGTTATTTTTATTCTGAGAAGGAACTTTGGCTCCTCCAGGTTGAATTGTTTCTGTGTATTTTATGTGAAGCTGCAATTGAATATCTTGTAGTAATTTCAGTGTCAGTCCAACTGCTAAATAGTAACAGTTACAAGGAACATATCACAGCAGTAGTTAAGCCAACCCAGTAAGAGTAGGCTAGTCTGATTTGTTTTGAGGTCATTTAATTAAAACTGTCACTGTACGTACTACGTGCAAAATAAGTTATCCAGTGTTGAATGGGTGCTGTGTAGGGGGAAATATCTTCCATGAGTTTAGAGTTTTGTTATGTTTTGTTTTTTGGCTCTACTAACTTAGATGCGAATTTCATGTACGTTGGAGAAACACATACTCTGCTTTCTTAATTTTTCACTTAGCATTAGTTGAAGTTTTTTGTGATATGAGTCCATTTTATCTTCTCAGGTTGCTTTATTTTAGCCTAACCATGCCTATTTTAGTATGTAGTAAGTGAGGATTTGAGTGAAACAAGTTTTACATTTTTCCTCGTGGAAATCCATTCTTCTGAAGGTGTCTGCTTAGAGTTGATATAATTCCAAATACTTGCAGAAATACTTTTAGTTTTATGAAATTCACAGAGAACATTATTTTTACAGGTTTCTGAAGGTTTGTGGATCCGAATTGGTGCGCCTTGAATTATCTTGCAGCCACTTCTTAAATGAAATTTGCTTGGAGATTATTTCTGAGATGTGTCCACATCTACAGGAGTTAAATCTCTCATCCTGTGATAAGCTACCACCTCAAGCTTTCAACCATATTGCCAAATTATGTGGCCTTAAACGACTTGTTCTCTATCGAACAAAAGTAGAGGTAAGAATAGCTCATTTACATCTTTGCTAGTGTCACAGGCAACTGAATATTTAGTTACTCATAATAATGTGATTTCTGGTTTTTAAATAGATTAAGTTTATGATGCCACCTGGCTATTCAAAAATCATTAAATTGATTCAGTCATTTCAAAACTATTTAGCATCTTTTGTGTTAATTTTTTAGTTATAAGAAAATGTTGTTCTCTTTGCTCTTAAAATTTTTGTAATGCTGTTCATGTTTCCAGGTAAAGAAACAAGCAATGGGCTGAGGTGAGCTGAAATGCTGGCAGGGAATGAATTAGGGAAAGGAGTGGGAGCATGGTATGCAGGAGGACATTTGCTTGGAGCAGGAGGAAACAAAGTGGAATTTTTCCAGGACCAGACTTAGAGTTAAAATTCCTGATGCCATAGCTCATGAGTCTCATTAAAGAAAAATGGAATTATGTCATACATATTGATCTGGCTTTTTCCAAATAATATATCTGTGACATCTTTCCAGGCCATTGCATATACCAGCTGACTGTTTTCATTAACTGTGTGGTATATGTTATGCAATCTTCTATTCAACTGTTCCCCAAATGATCAACATTTAGGTTTTCCCAGTCATTTGTTTTTACAAACTATCACAAAATTTTGTGTGTACAAGCTATTATTGCTGTGGGATAGAGTCCTGTAAGAGGTATTGCCAGGGTGTCCCTGCAGTCGACACCCTGTAATTGTTCTATGCTTGTGCCCTCTACTTCAGTCTTGCTGGCCTTCTTTCTATACCTTGACATTCTGATCTGGTGCCAACTCATGGCTTTTCCTCTTCTGCCTGTCTGTAATATTCTTCAAGCTTATTACATGGCTGCCCTCTTCTTAGCTTGATGTTCAACTTAAATTGTTCTTTTCAGAGTTGGCTTCTTAGACATTGATAAAAGGTAGGCCCCTCCCCCACACCCCCATCTAGGTTGTCTCTTTTGTGTCGCCCAGTTTTTTTTCTTTCCTGCACCTTTATTACTCTGAAATTATTTGTTTTCTTGCTATTTTTTGTCTCCTTACAGTAGGAGGTGAGTTTCACAAAGGTAAGAGCTTTTATCTATTTTTCTAATGGCCATCTTTCTAGCATTTAGAATAGACTTGTAAAGATTGGCCATTCAGTAAATGTTTATTTACCTTGATCAAAGTATTCAGTCTCTTAATATTTCAGTTTTTCTAAAATGTAGATAATAAAGAATACAGATGTCATATCTTCATTGTGAGAATTACATTACATGTAAAGTGCTTACAGAGTGCCTAGAACATAGGAAACTCAGTATTAGCTGAGCAGTAGCAGTAGCAGTAGTGATATATCATCATGGCAGTTTTTTAGTATGTTTTGCCATGTAGTAGGGGAAATCTCCTCTCTAGTTTTTTTGAATGTTGTTTTTTTCATAAATCCTTATATATTATTCTTCCAGATATATCTCTCATCAAGAATTTTATTAAAAGTACATTCATTATATTTCATTTTGCTCTTTAGTAAGGCTTTTTATCTGTTCGTGTAGGTCTTGTTTTACGACCAAGAGCATATTATAGTTTTCTTCACTTAAATTTTATATCTTTCTGGTTAAATTTATTTCTTGCATTTCAGAGTCTCAGAAACTTATTTCTCTTCTACTTAATTTTAACTTATTATTGTTAGTATGAAGGAAAATTAGTTTTTTTTGTGTATTTATCTTGTATCTGCTCACCTTACTAAATACTTATAATTGTTATAACTTTTTACTTATGTATTTTGTATTTTCTAATCATGCAGTTATATAATCTGGAAATCAATATACTTTCTTTTCCAATATTTAAAGTGTTACTACATTAGATAGAACTTCGTAGGTAATGTGGAATAATAGAGACACACAAGTATACCAGTCTTATTTCCAATATAATGGGATGTCTGCAATGTTTTATGTTTTTTGTATTTATCCAAAAGGTACTTAGTATATATTATGTGCCAGGCTACTAGGCACTGGGACTTCAATAGTGAACTAAACAGACAACTCCTCATGCAGCTTACTAATTTCATTTGTTGTTTGATGGTATTTGCGGATAAGTAGTTTTTATCGTTCTTGTTTAAGAATATTTTTTAAAATTATATATTGATTTCAGAGAGGAAGGGAGAGGGAGAGAGAGGTAGAAACATCAATGATGAGAGAGAATCATCAATTGGCTGCTTCCTACCCCCCCCCCCCCACTGGGGATCAAACCCACAACCCGGGCATGTGCCCCTGACCAGAATCGAACCTGGGACCCTTCAGTTCACAGGCCGACTCTCTATCCACTGAGCCAAACCAGCTAGGGCTTATTTAAGAATATTTTATAAGAAATGTATCTTTTAAATTTTTAAAGCTTCTGTTAATACACTTATCTTTTTTCTTCTTTTATTATTAACTAGAGGCCCGATGCACAAAATTTGTGCTAGAGTAGGCCTTCGCAGCCGCGACTGTCTGAATCCCTCCCTTGCAGCCACTGCCAGCTGCCTGGATCCCTCCCTCGCAGCCATGGCAACTGCAGCCCCAGCTTCGTCGGAGAAGGACGTCTGGTCTAATTAGCATATTATGCTTTTATTATTATAAATATAATGGTTTGTGTTGAATAATCCTTGCTTTCCTGGAGTAATCCCTACATATTTTTAATATAATACTTAGCTAGGTTAATTTCCCAACATTTTGGAGCCAAACTATTTGGATATAGATTCTAGTTTTATCACTTACTAATCATGTTCCCTTTTGGATATTACTTGATCCCCTGTACTTCAGCTTTCCCTTCTATAAAATGGAGATAATAATAGTATGCATCTCAAAGATTTGTTGTGAGGATTATTTAATACACATAAATTATCTATAACAGTGTCTGATTCATAGTGAATATTCCTTTTTTTAAAAAGAATAGTTTATTGATTTTTAGAGAGAGGGGAAGGGAGAAAAGAGAGACATCGATATGAGACTGAAACATTGATAGACTGCCTCCTCACGCCTCTTACCGTGGATTGAGTCGGCAATCCAGGTGTATACCCTGACTGGGAATCGAATCAGCAGCCTTTTAGTGCATGGGATGATGCCCAACTGAGGCACACCAGCCAAGGCCATAGTAAATATTCTTTAAGGGTTTACACTTATAAATACTTTTCATCTGCTTCCTGAAAGGAGATTGAACTGTGGTTTTCCTTTCCATGCTCTCTTATTAGGTATGGGGCTAGGATTGTGACAGCATAGCAAAATGATTTGGGAAACGCTCATATTTTTATCTGATCTCTAATAACTTGAATAAATGGGAATTATCTGTTAGATAAAATTTACCTATAAAACCACCTTGTGTATAACTCTTTTATTTTTTTTTATTTGGAAAATCAAATTAGATACCTTTTTCTAGGCATAGCTTTTTTTCCTAATCCATGAAAGCCTGAAAGTGTGTGAGTATAAGAGCTTCTTTGTAATGCAGCATTCCTGATTTGGGGCAAAATGTTTAGCTAAAGTTTAACCTGGTATGGTGGAAAGAAGACTGATTCTAGTGATGACCCTGCCAGTAACAAGCTTAATGATCTAGATTAAGTCACATTGTCTCTGACATTCCTAGATTCTTTATGTGTAAAATGAGAAAACTGTTGACCCTGGATGCCAGGGTAAAGATAATGTTAGTCCATGTTTTGATTGGTCTGTAAAATAATGTATTGTTGATGTCTGGGTGGTATGTTCTGAAGTGGTTAGGCATGGCCGGCATTTGCAAGTGTGATTACCCGATATGAGTGAACATGTAGTAGCAGGGTCCGAATTGCCTTATATGCTGATAGGTAAGACCTGGCATGCTGATGTGGCTCCTTTGGTGAAATGGGCACTGGGCGCAGGGGACTGGGCTTCTCTCTAGATAGATTTCACCAACATGGCTGCTGCGTTGACCACTGAGCCTCGTGTGTAACCTTGTCAGGAACTGGGGATGTATCCCAGTGCTTTATTAAAATAAGAGCAACCTTAAAACAAGTCCCAGGTGTCATTGTCACCAACTTTTGGTCCAACATTTTATGGTGTGGCCTAGATCATTAAGAGTTTTCTCCCCAGCCCGGCCAACGTGGCTCAGTGGTTGAGTGTCTACCCATGCACCTCATCTTGGCTTTCCAAGATTTATGTGCTTGGGTTATACTAAGTTAAAAAATTTTTGTCTATTAAAATAAAAACACCACACCTTGCCCTTTCACATAGGCTATTGAGAAGACCAAATTAGGTCAAACATGTAAAAAAAACAAACCACTTTATACATTAAAAGGATTTGTATAAATGCAAAAATGATAGTATAGAATTTAGTCAGTACATTTTTACACAATTATCCTCACCTCCACAAAGTATTCTTATAGATCTTCCTAAATAGGAATATATTTTCTGTCATGTGCTAAGAGAAATTTAGGCTTCATTATCTCTTTCACTCTTAGGATTTGTTTCTGGTAAAAGAAATGTTCATTCCTAAATTGTAAACTTCATAATGGGAGGGATCATGTTTGACTGTTTACTTCTTTACAGCTAGTACATAGAACAGTGTCTGTTATTCACGATAGTGTATAGTAGTAGATATTTAGCAAACGTGTTTTTTTCATTATTAGATAAGTTATAAGATAAGTTTGTCTTTCTACAGAATAACCACATTTACTAAGCAGATGGGTGGGTGGATCAGCAACTTGAAAAACTTGTAAGAAAATATGTGAACTGTATTTGTTCAGAATTTTTAATCTTAAAAGGTAGTGAAATATAGTTCACTATAGTTTTGTTAATTTACTTCATGAGATCTTTTTCTTTATGTGTTTAAGATTACTGAAAAATCACTTTTATCAGAGAAATAACAATTGTCTTATTATAATATCAAACAAAACAAAATGTCATCGCTAGGTAAGTTATTTGCAGAGTTAGTGGTATTCATTTGTAGAATTTAGGTAGATGCAGAGCAGTAAATACATGCCTAGTAAAGAACAAGGTACTAGTACGTTAAAGAGAGATGAGT